AGATAGTTGTGGTTGTCATCAACATATGGCGCCACTAAAATTTAATTAATGAAGGTAAGTTTAATTATTATTTATAACTTATTTGTCTGTTCGTTTATTAATAAAGGTAATAAATAATAAAGGTAATTCATATTTTTCAGCTTATTTGTTTGTATATTTATTGTTTTATTTATCCATTTATTTATTTATCAAGTAAGGTAAGTATCAATAAACTATTTTAATTAATTATTATGATAATTCAAAATTATAATGTAATGTTAATTATAATAATAAATAAAATTGATAATCAAATAGTAAATAATAATTAATAATTGAATAAATTAATGTACAAGAAATACCATTTTCAAATTCAAACTGAATTTCGCGCTGGCTTTATTTTCGATACATTCGAATTGATCGTTTTCTAGCCCTAAGAGAATGGAGATTTTCTGATTGGTTTATTCTTCTAACAGAAATTAATTTATTTCTATTATTAAATATATAAGGAAAAAAAATGGTAATTCATAAATTTAAACTTTTAATTAATAATAAAGTTTATATAATTAATCATTTGTAATGCTTATTAATATTTCATTCAAATTTTTTATGAATTTCATGACTGTAATTTCCTCAGCTTTATGAGATTTTGTTGTGTGGCGGGAAATTTCAAGTTGCATATTACTTAAAGGCTTACTTAATGTGTTACATTAATTTTTTATAAAAATGTATAAAAGTGAGACTTAATTTAGAAAATTATTCAAATAATTTTCTAAATACTTTTAACATTTAAAATATTAGTTAATTATGTTTGTTTATTAAATATTTTTGGTGGGTTGATTTGATTAGTCCATCCCTGAATCACCATGTTTCTATTCGACCTAACCTTAAATATACATAGATGAGCCAGTGGCAGCTTGCTTGACAGCTTAACAAAATTTGAAATTTTATTAATAAACAAAAGTTAAAAAGTTAAAAATTAAAGAAATGAGAGTCTACTGTTATTGTAAAGATGAAAACTGTCAGTATAGACAGATGCAAGGTGAATTAGTAAGTAAAATATTATATTTATTGCAGAATTAATATCAGTGATAAACATTTTATGTAAGATACTTTTCATTAAAATATTCACACATTACTTCTAACCTCTCATATCACAAGATACATATAAAAAAATTCCAGTTTTATTTTCCATCTTGTATGTCTAAAATTCATGTAAAAAAACAGAACAATTGAAAATTTGATAAAATAAGAAACAACTTTTAGGTTAAGTTGTTTTCCAATTGTCAATATTGTTATTTTACAACCTGCTGAAAGTTTTTTACAGTAAGGGACGTGTGTTCACTTTTTTTCCAGTCTTCAACGTTGTAAAATAATACAGGGATTTTTTTGTGTGTATATCTTCAAATTTTACTTTATAACATATTATGTTGGATACTTTTCTTATTACTCTTTAATAATTACTCAACATATTTCTTTTAGAATAATATCAATGTGGAACTCGATAAAATGTGGGAAATGGAGTACAATCCTTTAGAGCCACATCTATTCATTAGAAAAAATAGGTGGGATGTACCACCAACTTATAACGAGCAACCGCCAGCAAATCAACTTTGCAAAAGAATAAAGACAAATCCAAAACTCACAACATCAGATTCTTCAAAATCTGGAATTTGTTCACAAAAATTGCAAAAAATTACAGATTATGAAGAATCTGAAAAATATCCAATTCAATTAAAACGGCGCATCGCGCACTCACAGTGTCAACCTCAAGCAGCTCTGCCATGCGAGCCACCTCAGGCAGCTCAACATCGTGAGCAACCACAACCAGCTCTGCCATGCGAGCCACCTCAGGCAGCTCAACATCGCGATTAACCTCAACCAGCTCTGCCATGCGAGCCTCCTCAAGGAACTCCACGTCGAGCAATAGAAATTGTTGCTCTACCACTAAGGGGTACAACACGGAAACGCCTAACAAAGGCATTGAGAGCAATGGCTACAGCTTCTTCAAAGAAGAGGCGTTAAGTTATTTTTTTTCTTATCATTTTTAAATTGAGGTTATTTTTTCAAAAAATTCTTTTTTTTCCATTTCACATTTTAAAAATTTTTTAATCTTTTTCAATTCCATAGCATGATTTTATTCAAAAATTGTTTTTTATTTCCCTTTTACTTCTCTTTTATTTTCAATAATTATATTTACTATGTTTCAATTTTGCATACTATTTCTACATTTTTTTTTGGATTTCATTTCATAAAGTTTACCTATAGCACAATTTTTAGTTTGTAGCTACAAGCGCTTGTTTACTTTCTATTTATTTTCATTTTGCATAATATTGTTTATTTGCTTCATAGAACAAGTGTGAAAAAAATATGCATTAGTTTTATACATATATATATATATATATATATATATATATATATACATTTAATATCTGTTATATATTTTTCTTGTTTAAAATAATTTTTTCACATAATGTTACATTTTGTCCGCATATTGCATTGTTCTGTAATGTACATATGAAAAAAAAAGTTGTTTAGTTTTCATATTTTATATATAAATATATAATCTATTCATATGTACATTTAATTATTATTTTTTAAAAAATACATTTATTTTGTCATTCTATATAATTTACTTTGTTGTTTTTAATTGCATGTTTAAAAGATTTTTTACACTGCTAAGACTTTTCCTATACAATGTTGCATTTACTGTTCGTTTTATTTCTAAACTTTTATAATTCTAAACACTAATTTCATTTTCTATGATTTATTTTTGTGTGAAATTAATTCCATATTCATTCTAAATTAACGAAATAATAATTTTATGTATTCTCTTTACTTTATTAATATACATATAATTAATCAATTAAGGTAAGTATAATTATAATTAATATATTTTATTTCATTTTCAATTAAGTTAAGTTTAATAATAAATATGTAGATTTAATTATTATTTTTAAAAATACATTTATTTTGTCATTCTATATAATTTACTTTGTTGTTTTTAATTGCATGTTTAAAAGGTTTTTTACACTGCTAAGACTTTTCCTATACAATGTTGCATTTACTGTTCGTTTTATTTCTAAACTTTTATAATTCTAAACACTAATTTCATTTTCTATGCTTTATTTTTGTGTGAAATTAATTCCATTTTCATTCTAAATTAATGAAATAATAACTTTATGTATTCTGTTTGCTTTATTAATATACATATAATTAATCATTTAAGGTAAGTATAATTACTTATAATTAATATATTTTATTTCATTTTCAATTAAGTTAAGTTTAATAATAAATAACTGATTTTTAGTTTTTTATATTTTATAATAAATGTTATTACTTATAACTGATTTAATATTAATTATTACTATTTGTTACATCCCGATATAATTTTGCGATTTGATTACTTGGATGAATGCCCCTAATGGTATGTTTCCATGTCATCACATATATAAGTACTATTTAAAGAACATTCTACATTATTAAAATTATAATAGAAAATAAGTGCGTTTGCTTATTATTTTAATTAAACGATATAAAAGTCTAATATTTTATATAATAATCAATTGTAGTTATATATTATAAAGATACAGCAATAAAAATTAGAAAACAATTGATTATTATATTGAACGAGAACTAACTTACATGGACAATTAAACAGTAGACGGTATATTATCTACGCGTATGATAAATAACCGGTTACTGCAATTAGTTAAAACTATGGTCGGTAATATAAAAAGTTCAAATTCACAAACAATAGGGTAAATGATTGTACACCAATAAACAATGTGTACGTATATGTATATATATGTATATATATATATATATATATATATGTATGTATATGTGTATGCGTATGTGTATTTGTGTGTATGTATATCAGGCCTGATAGATATATAATCAATTATATACATAAATGTAGATTAGTTTATATCGCAAAGGGGTTGTAACTTTTATTAAACAATGACGATCGTGATGGGATCAATGATTATTAAAAAGAATCATCATTGGTCTTGCTCTACGATCGAGAACACATACACCAAGAGAAACATGATACTCTGTACGTGCTTTCTAGAAATCGGCGAGAAAACGTGACTTCTAGATTTTGGCTCAAGTGCGTGCTTTTCCGATTTCATCCCCATTCTAGTGGTTTTTAATTGCTATATAAACCTAAGGAATTACCATTGTAGATGTCATAAGTTCCGATAAGATTTCCATCGTGTGTCGTAGAGCGACCCTTCAATTATTCTATAAAAGTTATTGTATTCTTTCCGCGTTTCGGTGCAAGTTAAATTGTTTTTCACTTAGAAACAAGTTTCTTTCCTTCTGAAGGTGCAAGAAAAGCAACATTAACGCTTAGAAATATTAACAAAATTGAATTAATTGTCGTATATTAGGGGTTTAACTAATAAAGTTACATTACATTAATTTTGCGAGTTGCTTTTCCTGCACTTAAAGAAACAAGTTTCTTTCCTTATAGCTTCAAGTGTCAATAAAACAACGCGAAATAAGTGTATGAGCTTAAAAACCACTATAATAAAGCATAAAAGTCGTTTTGTTACCAAAGTGATATAACGAACTTATAGTTTCATTCAATTGAAACTCAACTGATTGAATAAACAAATTATAACGACTAAGCTGTGTACGATTGATTAACTGCGATAATTGTCAAAGTAAGTAAATACAACATTGTATTAAAACATTGTAATAAATAAATTGTTAACCAATAAATATCATAAATGGGAGTTATCAGCCTTGTTATTGTAACGCAAAACCCATAGTTTTGTTAAAGTGAAAACAACCCACGTAAAAATAAATGTCAAGTCTTACCAACTTGATAAATCAGCTAATTTCCGAAGAAAATTAAACAACAAATACAATTAAAAACGCGTTCAGCTCGGGACGTAACACTATTTCTTATAACTATTTAATGAAACATTATTTTATATATTTTTTTATAACTTAGTGTATATAAAATTTAGTTATCAATTAATCCAATATATTAACCATTATAAGGTATGGAAATAATCTTATAATTCAAATTTCACGCGTTATCGACGGCGTGTTTGAGTCGCAGAAGCTTCACTTAACTGCCACTAACACGGAGAGATGAGAGCGCGTGGTGGGGATGCCGTGTGGTAGGGAGGCCGTGCGGTGGGGGACACCTATAAGTGTTGCAGCTCCACGGTAGATGAGCACATTCGACTTCAAGAGCGGTGCGGAGCAGTCAAACATGGAGACCTGTAGCTGCTATGATTGCTGTGTGAGGATGGTGTCGGCGTATAATGTGAGTATTACTATCAATGTAGATAATTCTATATACTAATAATAATTATTATTAATGTATACAATGGTTCTTGATAGTTGCAGAATGAAGGGAACGAGGTGCCATTCCCGACAACACCCCCGGGGTCTCCACCCAGGGAGCAGTATCTGTGGCAGTGTCCGGATACACCACCACCCTGGGTGGAACTGGGTTCACCACCTCAGTCACCACTGAGGGAGATCGCGCACCAGAACCGACCAGATTCGCCACCATGGGCGCGGGTAGAGAGACCAGCTGTGTTAACAAGACCTTCTACACCAGATGTCACGTCACCATCACCTAGGTTACCGACACCGCTTCCACAGCCCAGGTCACCCTCACCACGACCTGAAGAAAGGGCGCCACCCGGTCCTCGTCGACGACCCGAAGTAAGGGTGCCACCTGGTCCCCGTCGACGACGACGTCACCGCCAACGTGCGGTTACACACATTGAGATTAATATTAATATTATTTTTAAATAAATTTAATAAATTTTTCCTTCTTTACATAAGTGTTAATTAATTCTGCGAATGGGTGTGGGTAAATGTCAGAAGTGGGGATGTGTAAAAGTAGGAGTGGGGGTAAAAGTTCTAGTGCGCATGAGCGAACAAAATTTTGGGTATATATTCGGGGATCGCGAGCGAATTTAGTCATTCCTTCTTCTGTTCACAGGTGTTCCAGCTGCAGTCTTCCTTGCCATTTACTAACTGTTTTTGAAATATTTATTGTCTTTTTTTTTATTTTTATTGATATTTTTTGATATTTATTGTATTTTTTTGATATTTATTTTATTTAACTTTTATATTTCTTAGGTTAAGTGTGTTCTTTTCTAGGATAAGCATTTTTGATATTTATTGTGTTCATTATATTTATTGTAATTATCTTTTGTATTTCTTAGGTTAAGTGTGTTCTTTTCTAGGTTAAGCATTTTAGATTGTAAGTGTGTTTTTCTAGGTTAAGTTTTTTAGCTTGTAAGTGTGTTTCTTGTAATTTCAAAGATGAAGCGGAAGGTAACAACCACCGATGGACCGCGGAAACATCCAAACTACAAGACCACCCTTGACGAGTGTGACCTCACGATTTCACTCATCAAGGAAGCTTTGGAGCTGATGCCAGATTTACGTGACGTAAATTTAAGGCGAACCTTTATCGAGCGGTGGGTTGCAGAATGCTTGAGAAATGAGCATCTTCTCTCAGGCATTTTGAAATCGATGTATTTTACACATTAAAAACAGAGATGTGTAGGCATTCTGCAATCCATCATCAGATTTCGCGCTTTATTCGAGTCTTATGTTGAAGATGGCGCTGGAATCGGTGATCCAGACATTAATAAACGCATTCGCTGGGAAGAATGTGAGAGTGCTTTTGCGTGTAGACTGTACACCAATGCGATCCTGAATTTAGTTCATATCGATATTAGCGCGTTTTTGGACGATGCGTCCACACTTTTCCAGGATCACATTAGAGGTGCTCTAAACAAAAATGGTGCCATTTTGGTGTATGGCGTTCTCATCGCACATTTCAAAAGAGTTGAAAATGGTGCCCAAGTAGCACGATATATCAACCAGATGTCTCGGTGATATCACCGGGGAATGTCACCGTGACATCAGGAAAATGTCAAAATGTCCGCCTTACGGTGATATCACACGGTGACATCGAGGTGATATCATGGTGACATCAAGGTGATATCACAGTCATATCACGGTGATATCATGGTGATAGCACCGTGATATCATGTTGATATTTTACAGGGATTTAAAATTTTTTTAAAATTATTATTTTTTTTTCATTATTTTTTTTATTTATTATTATTTTTTAAATTATTAAAAATTTTAAGTCCCTGTAAAATTTCAACATGATATCACCGTGATATGACTGTAATATCACCTTGATGTCACCATGATATCACCTTGATATCACCTCGATGTCACCGTGTGATATCACCGTAAGGCGGAAATTTTGACATTTTCCTGATGTCACGGTGACATTCCCCGGTGATATCACCGTGACATCTGGTTGATATATCGTGCTACTTGGGAAGGTGTTATAAAATAAATAGTTTTAATTTCGTTTGTTTCGATGTAGTATTAAACTTGCACTAAAAACGGTGGAACTTCTGATTCCGGTGGAGACGCAGAGGTCGGTGGAACCAGCGTTAATTTTTTTTGGGAAAATTATAATTTATTTTTAACCGGTTTCATATGTTTCACATTTATATAGACTACAATAATATAACTACACTTTATTTAACCTTTATTATTTAATTATTTTCTTTTTTTGAAATATTAAAGTAGAACTATGTTAACATTTGACTTTTATTTAAATAATTCAATGTTTAACAATAAAAAGCAGGATAATACTCGAAAGTCCAGTCAAGCATAAATATCAAAAAAATAATTACTTTTTTGATCAAACGTTTTTTTTATTTTCGCGATTTTATTTCAAAAAAATTTCATCAAAAAAAAATTTAACGTAATTATTTTTTATTAATTTGAGTCTTTTGAATGTGATGGTGTGGTTCATTTTTCCATTTTTTAAGTGTTTTAAAAGTTATTGTGTTTTTATCTTAATATATACACTTGTTGGGGCGAGATCACCACCACGATATTATTATTAGCTATTTAGTGTTATAAAATTGTGATGATTTGTATTTATTTGCTGTTTTCCAATGACTTTTAATTAATTTTTTAATTTTTACTTCAAAAAAAAGATAAGTGGTGATCTCGCCCCAATACTTCGGGCGAGATTTCAAGGGTAGCGTAGAATGACTGCAGCTCGAAATAATGAACCCAGCAAACACGAATACGTAATGGTTATATATTTGTTCTATAACAAGATGTAACACGTTCTGTCACAAGCTTGTAGCATGTTACAAGCAGGTTATGATAAATGTCAGCTCTGATCTCTGTAACAGATATGTAACAAATACATAACACTGTTATTAGTGATTTATAACAGATATGTAACGATTATATAAATTAATTACAAATTTTTTAAATCCAGTAACAACATCTTATATAACACATATGTAACAAATATAGAACTTTGTTACAAAAAATACAGTTAAAATTAATATAATAAATTAAGAGAGTGTCATATTTTGTCTTAATTTGATGTTGATAATGTTAATAAAATAAAAAAAATTAGTAATCCTAACACATTCTCGAAATTTTTTAACCGGTTGTCTCTCTAGATTCGAGCTTTCGACCATCACTAGTGTACTTACACTGCAGAGCTCAACCGTACTGGGAGCTGCGCCTAGACGCACTCGACCAAGGGAGACTACAAAGGTTTCTTAGGAAATGTTCCTTGTAACAAACACATGAAATAGATAGGTTTATTATTTTGTAAGACCATCAAACAATTTTTTAGTTGTTTGTTATTTATTACAATGAGTATATTAGCATATCGTTTCTAAAATATTAATAATTTTTAACAATATAAATAATTTTTATTTATTAATTCTTAAATATGTTAATTAAAATAAATGTAAAAATTGGTAAATCTTTTAATTATTGTATTTTAGAATTTATTACCTTTTAATTTTTAATTTGAAAGGAAATAAATCTTTGCTTTAGTCAAGAGGACAGTACATATAAATTTCAATTTTCTCCAAAAAAGTAATTAAGTAACAATGTTGAAACAGTAAAATTTTTTTAATTAACTAATATAATTCATATTACTCATAATAGTGATTTATATTATTATATATAAGAATAGTGTGATGTAAAAAAAAATTGGTAAGTCTCAACAAATTGCAAGTCTTATAGTAATTTTCTACGCAAAAAATTTAAAAATGAATTAAATATAAAACAAAGCAAATATTAAATTTCTAATATATATAAATTATAAAAATGTACGAAATTCAAAACATTTAAAAGTTCCCAAATTAATTCTAACCTACCAAAAATGACTAAATTTTGCAATTCGACTAATTTTAATTACTATATACATTTAAGCAAACTGTATATTAATTCTTTGTTGAAAATCAAATAATTTATGTTTCGGTCAAGTTTCAATATCCAATATTATTGAAATTCTATGTTATATGTATAATATTCAAATATTAAAACAATTGATGTTGGCATAAAAATTGACAAAATTACTTTGCAAGGCATTATTAATGGAAAAAAATTAAAATAGGAATCTTACAACAGAAAGGATCAAACATTTAATGACATTTGTGACTGAAGTGTTACAGAACATTTGTAGATTTGACATAATGTTATAATTCTAGAACAGATAGTTATTAATAATTTCTACACGAAAAGAAAAATCTAACTTTAATAGCATGAAAATGATTCCTACCATTAAAGCATGAATTTTTCTTACAAAGAAAGCGTTCATACGTTCTTAGTATGTTTGAGAAACACGTCTTCGTAGTATGCATTTAATACTTTAAATGAATGAGCGCCACGCATAAATTGTATGAAACCAAAACCTACTACTATTGCAGGAGTCTCATGCTTTTTCGGTATTAGAGTCCTGCAACTCGCGATCACCAAGTTTGAGTCAAGTTAAAGTGTGCGCGGCTTAATCGCCAGTTGCAGGACTCTAATACTGAAAAAGCATGAGACTCCTGCAATATTAGTAGGTTTCAGTTTCATACGATTTGCGCGTGGCGCTTATGCATTTAAAGTATTAAATACATACTACGAAAGCATGTTTCTCAAACCTTTTAAGCATGGACACCAATCCTACTAATAACGTATAAATTCTTACTAATATTACTAGAATTTCTCTACTATAATACCATGGAAAAGATTCATGCGTTAAACGTATGCCTTTTCACGTTATACAAGCGAGATTTTTCTCTGCGTGTAGAATAAGACAAGCATTCTGTTCTAGAAATGTTATGTAATAGTCTTTCAGCACATTTCTAGAGCAGAAGCGGAACAAAATTTCTAGAACATTTGTGACATCTATGTTTTAGAACTCTTATAGAACATTTGTTATAGAATAATTTAAGAACAAATTTCCGGATATATTCTATAACAAAAAGAGAATATTATTCTAGAAAGGTGACATAATATTGTTATATCAAAATTCTAGAACAAAAAAAGTACAAAATTTCTAGAACATTTGTGACTTAAATGTTCTATAACACTTATGGAACTTATATCTAAGAAGAGTTCTGGAACAAAAAAATAGAACAGTTATGTAACATATTAGGAACATTGTTCTAGAACACTGTTACCATTTGGTTCTATAACTGCTACATGTTATTGATGGCACAATTGTTCTAGAACAATGTTCTTTAATTTTAATAGAACAATTATAGAACGTGTTTGCTGGGAAGAGACCGGAACTTGTATCAATGGAGTAAAATATAGCCAAAGAGTCTACCTTTCAAACCTTTTTTTGGTTTTTGTCTTTATCGGCTCGAATACCGGAGATACAGTTCGAAAACTGAAAAACTGGTGATCTCGCTCGACTCTATATGTTTGGATTTTAAAAAGAGTAGTCAATTTTGAATTAAAAGAAAACATTTGTTCACCGTTCTAAGTAACACGTAATATTTCACGCTTATTTGAAATAGAAGAATAGGTTTGTTAGATAATGTAAAAAAACTAATTTTTTGTATTATTACTTTTTTCATTCTCTCAGAGATCGTTTGTTGTCACACTTTCATAAAAAATCCTTTAAAAAAGTCTATTTGAAACTAGATATTCATTGCATGACCATGTAGCTTCCTCATCATGATACACTTATATTAAAGATTAAAAGAAGGATTACAACTAAAATAGCGATCATTTTTTAAAATCTTTACACTGTCGTATGTGAGAGGGGTAGAAGCTATTCTTACGTATGATTTTATATGAACACGTTTATGTTCTTGTACAAGAACATTTGTATAAAAAATGTTTTTGAAAAAATTTGAAATTTTAATAATTTATAATTGTTATGACTTTTCACTTATGCATGCTAAAAATTATTGCGCATGTAAATTTGACATTTGACCTTGAAATTCAAGGTCAAAATGTTATTTAAAAAAAAAAAAATTTATCAA